AAAAAGGCAAGAAAGACATGGACCAGATATCTAACTCTAGGCTTTAAAAGTGCTTCACTTTAGCCTAGAGACCTAAGGGGGAAAAGGGTGGGGGAGACAGGAAGGAATCATTAACAGCGTTCTGTCCCTTTCAGTACCCGTTTACTGAAAATGGATTGGCTCAGGGTAGATCCGACAAAAAGTCACAAAACAGGTACTTAAAGAGCCATTTTAAATTCCCAGTGAGTCCTGGGAACTGTAGAGTTTTGGGTGGGGTATATCACTTTCTTATTAAGTTTTCTAAGTACTTCAGGAAACTATAAACTCCTAAGGTTCTTTAAGGGAAACTTAAGAATGCATAAAACCAATTTACACCTGTAGCATAAGGCTGTTCTTCACAGAAACACTTTGAGGTAATTTGATCAAGGCTCCACCCACCACTGCCAGAATCCTTCTTTTCTCCCTTTGCATATAATTGGTTTTTACAGAGAGGCACAATGGGCAGCAATCCTACTGCAACCTAAAAGATTTTTTTGAAAATGGGCAAATCTTCCTCCTGAAGATAACAAGTTTTATGTGTATCAGCAAAGACTCCAGCTTTTGTGTTTGTGTGATTTGTTTAAAATTCATGAGGTCTGTAAGGTGACCATTTGCAAAGATGAGAGGATTCCTGTACCCTTTGACAATTACACTTTGACAAACTTTGTTCTACACATACACCACAGGTTGGGTGAAAAGTAGCTTTTTGCCCCAGCTTGCTGGACTGGGGTGGGGGTGGGGGGAATCAGAAGGAGATAAGGCAGAACTGCACCAAAGCCTCAGAGGAAAACCCTGAAATTTTCATTGAGAAGAACTGAACTCTTTCTAATCAGTAGTCAGATGGAAGAGGCAGCTTCTAGCTGGGACTATTATTACTGAAAGCTAAGCGTTTGTATGGAAGCAGCACGTGCTTCTCTTTTCACTTTTAGATGGTTAATTTGAAATAGACACTCTAAGTGGTTTCAGCTCTAGCCCCCTGAACTGTTTTAGCCGAAGACCTTGGAGTTTTTTCTTTTTTCTTTAAGAACTCCACAGTTGCAAATAATAATTAGCTACTTGGCCTTGAGTGGCCAGCAGGCAGTTTAATATTGGATGTCTTCCTTTAGAGCTAAGCTTACTGTCCAGGCTACGGGGCCAGGGAGCATGAAACTCTGTGAATGTTGGTATGTTTGATACTCACTCCCCTAGATGGCAGTATGACACTCAGGGCTCTAGTCGGGGGGGAGCTCTCAGGTATGGAGCTCCGGAAGAGAACCTCTAGGGGGTGGGGCGGTCACGTGGTGAAGCCCCGCCCCTTCTTTACCCCGCCCTCTGCTTCGATCCTCATTCCGTTTGGGAATGAGGATGAAGCAGGAGGGTAAGTAGCCGGGCCTTCTGACACACTTCCGGTGATGTCAGGGGGTGTGGCCTTCTGTCACTTCCGGTGATGTCAGGGGGCGTGGCATATGCAAATAAGTTATGCTAATGAGTCATGCTAATGAGCTCCGGCAGCTCTTTTTCTACAACAAGACCCCTGGTTACCTTCCTTTGTGATCATCTTCAATAAACTCTGTAGAGCCTTCCAAGACTTGAACTGTGGAGTGGTGTTGTTAATGGGTGCCTCCCTCCCTTTCCCCAGAGGCGAACCGGAGACTGAAGAGGTGAGCTTTTCAAGTGCAAAGTGCTTGGAGTGTTGGTAAAGAGAAAAACAAGTTGCTCTTTGCCAGCTTGAGCCCTTGAGCCCTAACAGGCTTTGGCAGAAGAACCGAGAGCAAAGTTCCCGGTTCACACAGCGTTCCAGTTTATTGTGAATTCAATAGAAAACTGTACTCGTAATTTAATCACTGCCGTTTGATAATGTTTTATATTATTAACCACAAAGCTCGGAGAAAGCTAAGGCATTTATAACTTTTAAGTTCCAAAAAAATTTCAAATGTTGCAATTTTACATGCTAAGTGAGGTTATAAATGATTAATTTTATGTTGTTAAAGCAGTAAAATTAGTTTAGGTTTGATGGGACTAAGTATTTCCCTTCTCAAATTCTGTGGGTTTTCTTCTGGAAAAAAACAGGATCCCCCCCCAGCACTTCAGTATTTCAGGAAATTTTACATCTCTATTCCCATGTGGTCAATACACCTGTTCACAGGGATGCCAACCTCCAGCTGAGACCTGGGGATCCTTTGGATTTACAGCTTATCTCCAGACCACAGAGATCAGTTCCCCTGGAGAAAGTGGATGCTTTGGAGGGTGGACTGTGTGGCACTGTACTCCACAAAGGTCCCTGTCCTCCCCAGGCTCCATCCCCAAATCCCCAGGAGATTCCCAACCTGGATCTGGTAACCCCACCCCTCCGTCACCTGCCGGTGGCCAGGGGAGACCTGGCAGCCTTAAATTTATCCATCTACTTTCATCTATCCCTACAGTCCAGCCTGCCAGTTGAGAACCTCTACTCAAGCCCTGCTGCCCTATGCCCCCACCTGCAGAGGTAGAGGAGGAGCAAGCACAGACAAGGCTTTTTGGTGGTGGCCCCTCACCGCTCCCTTGAGGCTCACCTGGCACCTACTCTTCTTTCCTTTAGGTACCAGGCCAAAACATTAGTTTCAACTAGGCTTTTAACTATTTCTGTTGTTGTTTTATGGTCTACTCCTACCCTGAGGACTATTTTAGCAATAAACTATTCTGTTTGTTTTACATGGTTGATATGTTTCTGGCTTGCTTTAGTGACATTTTTATTGCCATGTTCCTAATTATTTTATTGAGTTGGCTTTTTGTACTGTTTTTTATTGGAATGATGTTTTTATTGCTTTTTGTTCCTTGCTTGATTTTATTATTTTTGTTGTGAGCCACTCGGGGAGATCCGGAGATGTTGCATATGAATATGCAGGCCAAGCGGGCAGCCTCCCACCAATCACCTCTATCCCCTGCTGCTGCTCTATGCAGCAGGAAAAAGTGGGGGGGGATGGCATCCATCAATGCCATGGCAACGGCTGTGTAATTGTCATCATATCACTGGATGCTCTAGGATTTACTCCATGACCTATGGAGCCAATTTGGCATAGTGGTTAAGTGCACAGACTCTAATCTGGGAGAACCGGTTTTGATTCCCCCACTCCTCCACATGCAGCGGCTGGGTGACCTTGGGTAAGACACACATTCTCTCAGAGCTATTCTCTCAAGAGCAGTCCTTGAAAGAGCTCTCTCAGCACCACCTACCTCACAGGGTGTCTGTTGTGGGGAGGGGAAGGGAAGGAGATTGTAAACCGCTCTGAGACTCTGAGTGAAGGGCAGGGTATAAATCCAGTCTACTCTCTTTTTACCGTAGAGTTTCAAGTGCCCTCCAATGTGGTGATATCACTTCCGGTTATGCACCCATAAATGATGTTGCTACATCAGTGGACATCATTTGGGTAAGTCCTGCTCTCTCCAATTGTGTAAGTAACAAAGTTCCAAACCACTGAGCCTCTTAGACCATCATAGCAGCTATTAGATTTCAGAACAAAATATTGTGTCCACAGAGATAAGTCCATTCTAGTGATTAATTCCCACTTTTGTGTGATACTCCTTAGTTGGAAACCCCCTGTTCTCTACAAGATAAGAGCATCTGTCCACATAGGAGTGGGATGTTTCTACAACATCCAGGACAACCTGCCTTCTCTGTTCCTCCAAGTCCCTTGTGATGATGACTCAGATCTAGACCTGCCAACCTCCGGGTGGGGTCTGAAGATTCCTCAGAATTACAACAGATCTCCAGATGACAGAGGTCTGTTCCCTTGAAGAAAATGGCTGCTTTGGAGGATGGAGTCTATGGGATCATACCCCATTCAGGTCCCTCCCCTCCCCAAATCCTGCCCTCCACAATCTCCACCCCCAAACCTCCAGGGAGTTGGCAACCCCAAATCCACCTGCAGAGTTTGCCTGAATGTCCACTTTGTCCATTGGCTGCTTCAACGGTTAGGCTCGTGGTTGTGTTTATGCTCAAAGCCCTGCATTTGACAAGTCTCCTACACCTGTCTCCAGCTGAGGGGGGGGGGCTATCTTTCTTCTGGGCCGTTTACGCTGACATCCTGCAGCCTGTAGCTGTGGAGCCTAGCGGGGAACCTTGTGACACTCCTGAGTTCATCAGCAGGTTCTCGGAAGAGAGCATTTAAATTCTCTAAATAAATAACTCAGTGAAGCTGCATTTCCCTGCCATGATCTCTGCACAGGACACACTCTGGGCCGTCACATTCTCCTCTTTTGATATCCCTGTCTTGTGCTACTGCTGTGAAGGGGTTTAGTAGTTTGACCACTTGAAGCCCACAAAACTTAGTAGCAAGTAGGAGGAAAGGAACGGTGGAAGCACTTCTCGTCAGTGATCTGTTGCCGCCTCCCTTACAGTTGCTGATAACATGTACAGCCCACTCCGATAACGTTGGGAAGGGGACTGTCTCAGAAATCTGCTCAGGTATCATGCAAGCATAGCCCCCCTCCCAAGGTATTTTTTAAAAAGCTAAGGAGTTCAATTGGCCAGTGGACAGAAGGGATGCCCAACAGTGTTCCCTCTAAGCTGAGTTAGTGTGAGCTAGCTCACAGTTTCTTAGCCTCCGGCTCACACATTTTTGTCTCAGCTCGGGAAGGATGGCTCCAGAGCAAACTAATTGATGCAGTAGCCAAATCGCTCGCTCACAACTTTAATGCCAGTAGCTCACAAAGTAGAATTTTTGCTCACCAGACTCCGCAGCTTAGAGGGAACATTGATGCCCAACGCCTTTGTTGGTCTTAAAGGTGCCACTGGACTCCAAATTTGTTCTAATGCCTTTTAAAAAATCTTGCCGGTTTTGCATTTTCAACTTCAAAGTGGTTCAACACTATCTTGCAGTTTTTGTTAACAGCCCTGTGGGTTAGGCCAGTATTATCACCATATCGAAGGTGGGAAACAACACAAAAGTGTGGCTTCCTTGCCCAAGGCCACCTTGTGAGTTTGTAGCAGAGATGACGCTTGAACCGAACACCTCCCATATTACCACTCATTCTTTGTTTCCTTTTGAAGCTCTTTCTCCTCTTGTTCAGTATTTTTGACCTTTCGCTAGGCAGGCCGCCGCCTCGTTCCACTTTGAACTTGAGCTCTGCCAACATTCCTACTTTTCATCCGCTCCAGTGCTCCCACAGGGCTGTATGGGATTTCCAGTAATAAGAGGATCTTCCAGAGCTTTCCTGACAACTGTCGCTTTAAAGGACTCTAAAGGTAAAGGTTTTCCTTGCTCGAAAGCCAGTCAAATCTGACTCTAGGGGGCAACGCTCATCTCTGTTTCCAAGCTGAAGAGTCAGCACTGTCCGAAGACTTCTCCATGGTCATGTGGCCGGCATGACTAAACACCGAGGTGCACGGAAAGCTGTTACCTTCCCACTGAAGTGGTACCTATTTATCTACTTGCAATTTCTTGCTTTTGAACTGCTAGGTTGGCAGGAGCTGGGGCCAGAGGCTCACTCCATCCCGCGGCACTCGGGTCTCGAACTGCCGAACTACAGACCTTCTGGTCTGCAGTTCAGCATTTTAACCTGTGAACCACTGCTCTATCCCTCCACAAATAGGGTTGCCAAGTTTGAGTTGAGAAATGCCTGGAGAGTTTAGGGTGGTGCTTGAGGAGAGTTAAGTCTGGGGAGGGGAGGGACCTCAGCAAGGTATAATATCCTCCATCTTCTAAAACTGCTGTTTTCTCCAGGGCGACTGATCTCTGACATCTGGAATTCAGTTGTAATTTTGGGAGCTCTCCAGGCTTCACTCGGAAGCTGGCAACCCTCTCTCATAGGCTTTTGTTGGCCGCTCACATTGTCACGCACAACCATGCCAACTCACTAATTCAGTATGAAATTCTACACATCTCCTTCAACTTGGTATTATCTGTTGCTCTTGTGCACATCTGTCGAGTGCTCTTTCAGACAGACCTCAAGTCAAACTGCAATCCCAGTAAGTGTCCTAAACATCAGTCATTATCTAGAAGAGAACGATTATACACAGTGAAAAAGCAGGACCGGTCATTCTAACAGACCGGTTCACCTTCAGTTCCTCACCATGCGCAGACCACCAGGGGATATAGGGCTATACTCACAACCACACAAGAGGTTGGTGCAACAAGCTAGCACCCATCTCCAGGACGCTAGTCTCACTTTTCCCAGCCACTGCAGCAGGAGAAATGGCTGCTAGCCCCTGGTGTATATATAACCCCCCCACACTATTTCCCATGTGGCCATTTACAAATATAAACATGTGCATAGAGAAATTTTCCAGCATGAACAGACTTAGATAAATCCTTGAGGGCCAGTTGTGTAGTGGTTAGGAGCGCAGAAATGGGTTTGATTCCCCACTCCTCTTTGGGTCCGTCACAAGTTCTCTCAGAGCTGTTCTCTCACGAGCAGTTCTCAAAAGAGCTCTCAGTTTCTCAGTCCCCCCTACCCCACAGGGTGCCTGTTGTGGGGAGGGGAGGGAGCCTGTAAGCCACTTTGAGGCTCCTTCGGGTAGTGAAGGGTGGGGTATAAATCCAATCTCTTCTTCTTTGAAAGTGTAGCAGGTGTATATTGGTCTTCCAACTTAATATTGAGAAAAATTCCTGGTGGTTTATGCCCTGGAGAGCTGCTGGTGGCTGGGAACAAGTCAAGCTGAGTTCCAGCAGCACTGGCTACCCCACAGGGCTAGGATCCAGACATTGGCATCAACAGTGTCGTGCAGTGGTTAGAGTCAGACTAGGGCCTGGAAGATTCAGGTTTGAGTCCTCACACTGCCACAGAAGCTCACAGGAAGAGCCTGGGCCAGTCACTGGTCGTTCTAACAGACTGGTTCACCTTCAGTTCCTCACCATGCACAGACCACCAGGGGATATATGGCTATACTCACAGACAACCACACAGAGGTTGGTGCAACAAGCTAGCACCTATCTCCAGGACGCTAGTCTCACTTTTCCTAGCCACTGCAGCAGGAGAAATGGCTGCTAGCCCCTGGTGTATATATAACCCCCCCACACACATATTAACTATTTCCCATGTGGCCATTTACAAATATAAACATGTGCATAGAGAAATTTTCCAGCATGAACAGACTTAGATAAATCCTTGAGGGCCAGTTTTGTGTAGTGGTTAGGAGCGCAGAAATGGGTTTGATTCCCCACTCCTCTTTGGGTCCGTCACAAGTTCTCTCAGAGCTGTTCTCTCAAGAGCAGTCCTCAAAAGAGCTCTCAGGCCCTGTTGTGGGGAGAGGAGGGAGCCTGTAAGCCACTTTGAGGCTCCTTCGGGTCGTGAAGGGTGCTACCCAAGAGGGCTGTTGTGAGGAGAAAATGGAGGAGAGGTAAACAACATTAGGCCCTTTGGCTCCTCATTGGGGGAAAAGCGGGAGTATAAATGGATAACTAAAGCAGGCGAAGGCTGGCCCATTGCCTCGTACTGCGCCTCTGCTGGCCTGTTGTTGGCAAGCCTGTGCCCATCAACAGTGTGGCTAACCCAGTCTGGGCTGAGCAGCCCCTCCGAATGTTGCCGTCCTCCCCCTGAAGTGAGAGTAAACCAGGACAAATGTTTATTGCCAAGTTTTCAGATCAGCGTATTAATAAAAAGAGTGCATGTTAGGGCACCAGATTTGGTTCCATAAAGAGGAAGGGCATTCTTGATACACACCCCTTGTTTTTTGAAGGCTGTGATTATTTCAATCATTGCTGCACCCTCTACAAAGCCCTTGCCAATACGCAATTTCGACAGCACTTTTCAGTCAGTTATTTTCCCGTCCTTGTTTTGATGAAGGCACGCTGTAGTCAATGGGTATTTTTAGAACTGTATTTTTTGTACACCGCTCTGAGCCCACTTGCGGGGAGGGCAGTATAAAAGCCTAATGCAATAAATATATATTTTTTTTAAATGTGAAGTAATGAACATCCACTGTTCGCTATGGAATGAAAACTTCATAGAAGTTCTGAGGATTCTGACCTTGCAAGTTAAGGGGATTCTTTTGGTTTGTCCACCTATTACACAAACAGCAAGGAACTGCTACGTCTGTGCTCTTCCCACTGTGAACAGAGATCGTGTCATGAGGGCCATCCCCAAGTTTCATTACTTGCTATGATGAAGCCGATCTGTAAGGGTCCTCTTCAGAGGTAGTTATGGAGTTCTCTCTTGCATGAGATTGGGCCAGCGAGCTCCACTGGCTATGAAAACATTTTATTTTACACCAAATATGCTCTACTCGCTTGTTTAGAATGGCCATGAAAAAAAGAATTCACTTTATGCCAGGCTGTGGATTGCTGGGAGTTAACATTATTTTAGACATTTCCTTTTATTTTATTATGTCTTTTGTTCACAGTGTTTTATTGGAACGTTAATGTTTTGTAAATGTATTTCATTACTTCCAGCACGCATTAAAGTTGCTTTCTGTACCATAAAAGTAGGAAATTCATTTTACAAGATAAATTGAATATCCTGCAAACACAAATATGGAACAATCCTACACTGAATGATTCCACCGCACTGTCTAATGCAAGAGTCAAGAGACAAAATAAACTTAAGACACATTTTATCATTTTTATAGAAAATAGACATTTACATACATTTCTTTCATTGAAATACTTCTTTGATCATAACTTTTGTAAGCAAAACTCATCCGTACATCTGACAGCAAAAATAAAGGACCTTTGAAAATCCTGTTATCACTGAAATACATCCCACAGCTATATTGTGCATTTAATTTATTTATGAAAAATAACCAATATTTGAAAATAAAAAGGCAAATGTAAGAAGACAAAGATAGAGAAACACTATACAATTAAACTTTTGCTTGGTGAAGGAGATAAATGGCATCTGGTTTTGGCAAAGAGATTTCTACATATTCATAGAAGCCACAGATTGTGACCCAGAGAGCTTTCCCCCTCCCCAAGCCCCCCACGTAGCCAATACATCCATCTACACATCACAAGGAAGATTCAAAACATATTTTCAGAGATGACCATCAGCACTTTTCAAACACCATTAACAGCCAAAGCAAATGTTCTGATCACTGTTTTCATTAAGTGTACATGGAAGCAGGCTGCTAACATTTCAAACTATTGTACAAGTCCCCTAAGGCAAGAACCCCTTTAGATGAGCAATAAGCCAAAATGTACAGTGCAATTGCAAACCAGGGCCAGTGCGTACAAGGCGGTTTGGCAGGTTCTCAAACTGCAGAATCATAGGATGTGTGTACAAATGGTGGTTTCCCAAAAGTGGTGCTGGCAGGTTCTCACTGCAACTATTCTTTGTCAGCATGTGAGCAAAAAAGGAACTCAGCTGTTCATTTGTGAGTCTTGCATGGTTTTCAAAAGAGAAAAGAAGTATCAGGGGATCCACTTTCCTGCAGCATTGCCCTCTCCTTATATTAAGGCATTGTTATTTTTTTTAAAGGAAAAATATTTCTTTGGACAATGTATGTTCCTCCTTAGAATTAGCAGGGGCAATTCACAATCTAGTTTAGTCAGTTGTAACGCTCTACTGACTTGTATGGAGTTAGGGAAAGCGGAATGTAACTGGAACCTTAAGATGGGGGGGGGGTGGACCACAAGCTCCCCACCCACTCCCAGCTGTCAATATAACCACTTGGAATGAGGTTGGTTTAGCCAGTCGGGGACAGAATCATTGGACGGAGAGTGAGCGGGGAATTCAGCTGGGTTTCCTAGGAAACTCCGTAAGATTTGCTAGGCTCTTTTCACCTTGGAAACTTATATTAGTTAATAAGGGGGTGGAGATCACATTTACTATGTTACTATGGTTGCACGTCTACTGTTATTACAAGGTTATGACCTTTTCTGCATTTTCATTATTTTCGCTTGTAAGTTCCTGTTTCTTCGAGGGACTTCTTCTGTTCTATGTGTGTTTTGCTCCCTCTAGTAGTTGATTTGATATTACACTGGTTTATGTCTGGCATTATCTCCCTGCAGATAATGTGTGCGGGGTTTTATGCCAGACATAACCCAGCATAATAGTGCATCGATCACTAGAAAGAGCAAAATACGTGTAGAAGATGACCTTCCCCCCTGGAGAAACAGGAACTTACAAGCGTGAAAAATGAGAATGCAGAAAAGTCCTACGTCTTTCAAGCTGCAGACTATAGTTTGGTTACTGTGTTG